GATGCCTTTTCTTCTTCTTTTGCCTTGTCCAGGCTTTTCTGTTTAATCTACATAGGATACATATAAAGGTACAGTGAGATAAAGTACTGACATTTATACATAAAAATTTGCAAAGAACTAATCTGTATTACCTCACTGATCCCTCTTTGCCACATTTTCCTTATGATTCTTCCCCCTTTCACGAAATTCAACACTCTTAAAAATGAAAAAAAAAGAGAAAATACAAAGGAGTTAAACACAATAAAATCCAGTAAGCATAATATATGACTAGAACATAAGAAAACAAATTAAAATGATGTGTAGAAAAGATAAAACTGATTTTTTTTGGGGGGCAGTTGGGATTGAACTCGGGTTCTTGTGCTTGCAAAGCAGACACCAGAACCACTGAGCTAGATCCCTGGACCCTTAAAACGGATTAATTGTAATGCAATCTTGTCCTTTTATCCAGTGATGCTAGGAAACTGGACCTCATTTATTATACCTTCTGACTAGATTTTACTTTAGCTCTTAAAACAAGATGACCATATTATGGGAGAAAAATGCAAGGTACTCTCAATGACTAAATTAGGACTTAAAACATGAATCAAGACAATGTTTTAAAGAAACACTTTTCAACATCAACTGTCAAAACCAGTGCATCTCCAAAATTTTATCATTCTATTTGCTAAATTAAAGACAGAGAACAATGATCCTTAATGCCTCAAAATTTTAAGAAGTATACATTTAAAAATTGCTCCTATATTATAAACAATAAAATGATAAAAAAGAAAAGGAAAAAATGAAAACCCAGGGCTGGGGATTTAGTTCAGTGGTTCTGGCGCCTGCCTCACAGGCACAAGGGTCTGAGTTTGATTCCCCTATGCCAAAAAGAAAAAAAAAAAAAAGCTAACCCACCTGGAGTGGTGGTGTTAACTGGGATGGATGGTTGTAAGAATGGGTACATGAACATTACTATTTAAATAACCAGAAATTCCCCCTAAATTACAAATGTCTGGTATTAAGTGGTAGTAAGACATGAAAGAACTCCGTAAAATTAAGTTGTAATACTCAATTCTTGTATGACATATTATCTGAGTTAGTCTAGAATACTATTGTGAATGCCTCTTTAAAGTGTGACTTTGTAAAGCAAACAGTCATCTTTTTCTTATACATTGGGTTTCCTACTTGATTACAGAACTCAAAGAATACAATATTAAAAGACCATTCAAAATTAAATTAATGTTGTTTATAATGATTAAATCAGTGTGGGTTAATTCAAGGAGATAAAGGCAGTGTACCGGAGGGGATTATTTACTCTACTTAACTCATACAATTCCTGCTACTGTTGGGTACCTTGAAAGAAGAGAATTTTCAGTGATTTGTGTAGTTTTTAAAACTCCTAGCATTTATTTGTAAGGACAGCTGAACTCAGATAAAATAAAGAACTTAAAAACAAAAATCTCAAACCGCATGCATTTTTAAAGTAAAAGTCTATGAAAGGAATACATCATTGTTAACGATGCGACTACTACTCTTTGGTCCATTCAACTCTGCCATGTAAAAAGGAAACTCTGGTTTATTATGTAGCACATACACAGTACTGTTAACATATGAAGAGGAAAATCGGTGGTGTGCTTTTTGCCCTATATCTTCAAAGGTAGATCTAGACAAAAATACACATATATTCAATTATCTCTACAGCAGGAAACACAAGAAAAAGTACCACAGTCTTTTTACATTACAAGGGCTTTTCCATTCTTACTTTTCTTTGCACAGTACAGTATGTGACAGATCTACATACACTCCCAGTATACTGTAATGTGTTTGATAAACACAGGGATGAGAATATCTACTAGTTGGGTCACTTCCAGAAAGGGCATAGAAATAATCTGGCTTCATAATCAAATACAGCTTAATGAAAAGGAAGAAGGCTCATAACTTCTTAAAGGGAATAAATAATATGACAATAAAAATCTTTTGATGTTTTGAAGAATCAAGAGTAACGTATATGAATGAAAGTGCTTTGATCTGAACCTAGATGAGAAAGCAGCGGTCCACATAAGCACAACATTATGAGAATCTCTGAGAGTGGAATCAGCTTACAGGCCTATTATCTGCTATCCAGCACTTGCAGTAATCACAGAATTTCTTTGGTTGAGACTTCCAGTAGTCGGCCCTGAAAAAGGGAAAAGAAGTCTAAGCTTCTTCAAAATGAAGGTAAAATTCTGCACACTTTTGTTTCATATACTGTACAAGCCT